TAGACTTAGAATTTAATACTCAATTTAATGCAAATAATAATAAATAAATGCATCAAATAAATACATGCTATTTATGAAAATAAAGTCGAGCTCATAAATACTAAAAATATTCGGGGCATTACACCAGCTGTTTGAATATTTGGGATCGGGGCCTCTACCGCAACTTCGATCGGTGCATCAATATCTCGTTCATCCTCAATTATCATATTATGCAAAATAATACATGCAGTCATTATATCTTGTAAGTCATTTTTACTCACAAAATTGGGTAGGATTAGCCACAATAGCAAATTGACGCGCATGGTGACTGTAAATATTCTAACAACATGCAACACTATTACCTAAAACATCATGAATGTTGACCCAACTGAATGAATCTCACCTTTAGTGAGTCAAAGCAATATATACAACATGAACATGTCTGTTTATATTTTACGGTTTAGGAGAAGGTAGTAACTAACCGAGACTAAGTTTATTTACAACGATCAGTATAAAAAAAACTACTACTCTCTGAGATCCTGTTCAATACATAAATATACTAGTGCGACTAATCAGTCAAGATCAACTGTACTGTTGGCACAACAACCATTCCAATGGTTTGTTCATCTCCATCTAGGTTGTGAACCAACAATTCTTGTTTTGCAAGTGACTGATAAAATGATCTTTTGTTCATTCGCTAATGTACCATTTTATCTAAGTGCAAAACAATAGAACATAGAACTTGTTTAATCAAACATGATTCTCATTCAACAAAGATAAAGTGTAATATCATTCAAAGCCAACTTTCAGTATATAACTCCAACACTGTAAGGTCTCTAGGTCGTTATAAGACGCATCAAGAGGTCAATAACCATCTTACGAGAGGAGCTCTCTGTGCCCTTACTGAGCTATTAGGTATTTTAACAATCCAACCCAAGGTACGAGCTTCAAAGTCTTTAAACCGTTGTACTCGAGCTAACTCGTTGAGAGTATCTACTGAGCTAACTCCCTGAAAGTAGTCTGCCGAGCTATTCTTGTTGATATATCAACATCTATTCACATAAAGTTTCACTGAGAAAAATAATGCTGATATCAACATTCAAATATCGAATTATACTTACCGACAATATCGAATACCGACCATTAATTAGGGATACATAAACACAAAGTACCAGAATTAGGGTAATATTGGATAGTACCGAAATTGTACTGATAATAGAGGACAAGACAACATACCAAAAAATAATAATAATAAAAGAAAACAACAAAAAAGTTAACATCCTCCCTTTATATTATTCCCGAATGCGTTGAGCCTACACGGCTGCTTCTGGTGCTTCGGGATCCTACTTGACAAAGAATCATGCTTCGTAATTAGGTTTGGACAAATAATATTGATATATTAATAATTAATAATCTAGGTTCGGACATTTCATAAATATTAAATAGCTAACTTCTTGTACCAATATAACTATTTAGTTCTTTGTAATTTTACATAATGAGACATTAAGTGACTAATATATCCATGACTTTTGATTTGTTTCCTTCAATTAGTTATTTAATTGTAAATGTATTTTAAAAGTTGATAACTTTTGAATTTTTATCGGTTTTACATATATAATATATCAAATTAATCATCTTTTGATGATCTTCGATTTGACATCCATATTGTATATATAAAATAAATAAATTATATTTATCTTTATAATAATAAAAAATAATAATATTTATTAAAATTCATTAAAAAAATAAAATTATTTCTCAATTGATATATTTATGTTCAATGTAGTTATAACATATATGTTGTAAGTTAAAAAAATATTATAATACAACACAAGTAAGTCGCACAAATAAAAAAGTGTCATACTAAATATATAATAATATATATATATATATATATATATTTATAAAAGGTATTTAAATTTTCAATTACTTTTTCTCATTAATTTTAGATTTTAAGAAAAAATTAGCAAGCACCCGTGTAATACACAGGCGTTGTACTAGTTGGACTTATAAAACGTAAAAACTTGTATTTGTAATCTTATTTCTATTTTACTAAGATGTTGAGACTCAATAAATATAGTTATTTAATTTTTTAATAGTTGATATTAAAATTTATTTATTTTGCTTATATTTACTTCTCCCATAATACTGATGTTGTTGTTGGATAAACGGATAATACAACATACCCGTGGTTAGTTCGGTATGACATAATGATATTTATAACGCTATTGATATTAAGAACTTGAATAGTGGAATAAGACAATATATGCTAAACATCATACATTTTAGTGCAGTGCTGAGGTTGATGTCCTCTTTATCCCCCCCTCCCGCCCTCTATTTTGCACGTTTTTTTACCTATGGGCGGCCTCCTCATCGGGTTTCGGTTTTACATGGTGAGGTGGAAGACGAGTAGGTCGGTTGGGTGTTGATTGAAGGTGGTCTAGTGCACTCAAGGCTTAATTGTGGTTGAGAGTCTCAGATCTGGCTAGCCATAGCCATTATGGAGTTTGGAATTTCTCGAGTGAAATTCTTGACTAAGATCGGGCTCTTCCTTGTAGGCTACCTTTAATCTGTCGTCTTGAGAGGTTGTGGTACAAGTGTTGTTAGATGTTGATCGGGAGGACTTTATTGTACCTTTCAGGCGTGAGTGGTAGTTTTTTTGTTTGTTTTTTCTTTTGTTTTTAGTTATAGTCTTGATTTGTCTAGTTAAACTCTCCTTCATGGAGTTTTCCAGTCTTTTTTTTTTTTTTGAGTTAGTTTGTACCCCTTGGACGCATGTGTAATCTCAAGGGGGTGGTTCTAGTCTTTGTATTGGTTCTACTGGTATCAGTCGATACCCCAGGTGTACTCTTTTAAATTTTCAAATTTTAATATAATTATCGTTTGACCATAAAATTTGCAAAATCCATATGTTTTCTGGTAAAGAAATCCTATGTGGTAAAATCTTTCCGCAATCCACTTTTCCAGCCATGCAAGAGAGTCAATAAAAGAGACCGTTGTCTTAACTGATGAATTGCCCAGAGCAAGAGAGTCAAGCATATCGCATATCATAGTCATTATGTTTTTTTTAGTAGTCGTTATGTGGTTGAGGGCACAAAGCAGCCTATTGGAGGATTTGACTTGGATTAGTTTTAATTTATTTCTTGAATTAATTAGGCTTGAAATATCCATAAATATAATGAACATTTATGGTCCTTTTTATGAACATTAATTATGTTTTAATATCATTTCCTATTGTATACGTGATTTATAAGTTATATTTTTTTTCCCGTTATAAGATGAAGGTCCCTATTAGATAGAGGTTTTCTCGTTAGATGAAACATTTATCCCGTTATAAGATAAAGGTTTTTATCCTTTACAATAGAAAAAAAAAATCTATTAGCATTCTGCTATAAGATAAAGGTTTTCTCGTTATGATGAGATTTTTTATCCATCATGTTCTTCTACACATCTATTAGATTAGATGCAACCAACATTATTTTATAAGATAAAGGTTTCCTCGGAGCAGGATGCATGTCACATGTTATCTAAACTTTTTGATTTTTTTTTTTAGTTTGTTACTTTTAATTATTACAAATTTAAACGTGTGGATTGATTTACAAGATACTCTACATTCGATTTTACAATATACTCTACAATCAATTAAGACTGATTTTCATTTGCTAATGATTTATAAAGTTTGGTTATTAATTTGACCAAATATTTTGCTTATTGATTTATAAATATTGATTATTATTTTGGCTAAACATGAAAGATGAACTTGTTGGATCAATGTTGTTATAAACAAACATAAAAGTTTTTCATATTATGTTTTTAGCCTTTATCAGTTTGTAATGTTTTATCAGTGTAGGAAACATTTTCATGATTTTTTTTATTTATTCCACGATTTGTTGATTCATTACAGCTTTGATCAATCTATGAAAATTATTAAGCCGCCTTCTGGCAAATATGTATGCAGTTATGTGTTCGTGTCTCATAAGTCACAAACATAATGAATAACATTACAAATTACGTTCAAACTTTTATTCATTGCAAATATATTAAAATAGTTTATATAACAACCATTAAATACCACTTTCAATATATTTATAAATAAAAAGTACATAAAATTTCTGGTGTGTTCAAATTTAAATAATTTTTGATGGGCTCAATTTTAATCATCCAGACATTTGGTCAAACGCATAGGTGTGTTCAAATTTAAATCATTGCATTTTGTTCGGTTGAAATTTAAATCATCTATCACGGTATTGTGATTTGTATAATATATATGTATATATATATATATATATATATATATATAATTTTTTAACAAATAATATATGCTTTATAAAAATAATAATAATAATTTCACAAGATTTTAAACGTAAAATATTGTTTTTAATCACAATAGAAAAATCATGGTAAGTTGATGATAGTAAGTTGTATTGAAAAGATGTTATGAGATAAAATAATTAAATAAAATAATTAAATAAAATACTTAATTATCTTTGACTTTTCTTACTACTAACTTTAGTAAATAGAATAACTTTTTATATAAGTATAGATTATTTAACGTAATTGTCCGGCAGTCTCCAAAATCCATATGCTTTCTGGTATAGGAAAAGGACCTCTTCCAGAATTGTTTTTCTGCAAAAACTTTGGGCACTCTCGAGTTTTATCCGTTTCCTCAAATGATTTGATTCCTACAAACGTTCTATTTTTTCCTTAAATTAAGAAAATGGGAGTACGAAACAAAGCGGACAAGAATGGCACAACCAACAAAGAAGAAGAAGAAGAAGAAGAAGAAGAAGAAGAAGAAGAAGAAGAAGAAGAAGAAGAAGAAGAAGAAGAAGAAGAAGAAGAAGAAGAAGAAGAAGAAGAAGAAGAAGACAGGCCAAAATCCAAGCATCTGGAATTCGCAGTGAAGCATTTGTCCGAGACTAAGTACAAACTGTGCAGTGACGTTTTCGTGAGACGTTTTCGTGAAATTTGGATTGGATTTTGGGGAAAGCTGTTTTGCTAGAATAGCCGCACAGAGCGGGATGATTCTTGCCTTCTTGCAGTTTGGGAAAACGGTCACGGAGAGTAAAAAGGATCCTATCAAGTTACTGAAGCTACTCGACATTTTCGCGTCCCTGAGTATGCTAAGGTTGGATTTCAACCGGCTTTTCAATGGGGGTCCCTGTGCCGAGATTTAGAATCTGAAGCGGGACTTGATCAAGAGGGTGATTGAAGGGGCGTGCGAGATTTTCCGGGAGCTTTTGGTTCAGGTCGAGCTTCAGAGAAATGCGCCGCCTCCTTGACTGTGGTGTCCCGAGGGTCGTGAGCTTTATTACCGATTATTGTAATAAACTGCTTGGGGATGAGTATAAGCCAGTTCTCACGCAGGTGCTTATTATCAAGAGAAGTTGGAAGCACGAGAAGTTCCGGGAGAAAATTCTCCTGAGCGAGATTTTGAATTTGGTCAAAGCTGTCGAGTCGAATCTGAAGACTTCGTCAAAGGTTTACGAAGATGTTGTTTCGAGCTGTCTTTTTTTTTTATGAATAATCATTGGCATTTGTGCAAGAACGTCAAAGGCACGAGACTAGGTGGGCTCCTGGGAGATTCTTGGATAAAAGAGCATGAGGAGTACACATACTATTATTCAGCTATGTATTTACAAGAGAGCTGGGGAAAACTGCCGGGACTTTTGAGCAGGGAGGGCCTCATTTTGTTTTCCGGCGGGCGAGCCACTGCCCGTAATCTGGTAAAACAGAGATTGAAGTCTTTTAACGTGGCTTTTGATGAGATATACACGAGACAAAGTAATTGGGTTATTGCAGATAACGATTTGAGAAACAAGACGAGATGCGCCATAATTCATACCGTCGTTCCTGTTTACAGGAGCTACTTGCAGAGTTACAGGCCGTTGGTCCAGCAAGAACAGGGCCCGAAAAAGTACCTCAAGTATACGGTTCAGTCTTTGGAGAAAGTACTGAGCTCTGTTTTCCATCGGAAGGCTATAAAATGTGGGAGTTTTAAGGTGAGGCAATCTAGTGGGAAGTTTAATAATTATTATTTTTTATATATAAACATCCCAAATTGGGATGGGAGGTTGAGGCTACACCCCCGACCTGTGAATATAATGGCCCAGATAGGGCTAAAAAGTCAATGGTCTAAATCCAAGTCGAAAATACATAGAGCAACATCAAAAACAGAAAAAAATAAAAAGTACAAGGATCACAAAAATATCTGATGTGGATTTAAAATCAAATCCTCATAAAAGGTCGTCCTGGTCAGAGTGACCTGGAATGGGGTCCAAAATATCAAATCTAGTCAGGGGCAGGTGGTGGCGGTCGACAGAATCTGAAGGATGGGTACTCTAACTGGTCCATCCGAATGAGCGTCCGAAGCCGGAGGGGAATGTCCTCAGGAAGAAGGGTGCGTCTCTGGGGTATAGATGCCCCCGTGCTAGCAAGGAAATCAGCGGGCCGATTCCCCTCCCAGAATATGTGTGAGACATGGTAATGGATCGAGCGGAGGGTGTCTCCGATGCGCATAAGAGGATGTTGGATCTGCCATGAGCCTTGGTGGTCAAGTATCAAAAGTGTGATGACAGCCGCAACATCCATCTCTATCCAGACATGAGAGGAAATCGAGGCGACTCGAGGAGGCCGAAGTGGCCCATGGAAGGCAGAGATGAGTGCCCCACCATGATCCCTAATCAGGCCCCCTCCTCCAGCAGCTCCCGTATGTCTGTCGAAAGCGCCATCAGTGTTTAGCTTAACCCAAGGGGCCTTGGGTTTCAGCCAATCAACGGTCCTGGGTCGTGGATGCTGGATAGGTAAAGGAGGTGGTGGCCTCAAACAATGGGGCGGTGTACACCCTGTCCAGTCTCTCGTCCTGAGTCTACCCAGAGCGGTGAGGAGAGAGAGGTTTCTGTCAACCTGCAAAATAATGCGAGCACAAGAAAATATGATATCCCTATGCTTCGCATTATTCTTTTCTGTCCAGTTGGACCATAAGATCAGACAAGGAATAAGGAAGCCCACGTGTCTATTGTGTGTGCGGTGTGAGAAAAAACTCAGAAGCTCAAAAAAACTGTTTGTAGTGGGTAGGGGTATATGAGTATATCTGGCATAGTGCTCCCACACTCTCCTCACAGTCTCACTCTCAAGGAAAAGATAGGTGAAAGTCTCGATCTCAAAGGTACCAGTCTCATTACAACAATAGCAGCGGGAGGGGAAAGAGAACCCTCTTGGAAGTTTAATAATGGCATTGAGGATAAGTATCATAGCCCTCCTGTTGTTAATGTCGCATGAGAATTGGGTCAACTTTAAAGGAATTTTCTCTTCCTTAGTGAATTTTGCTCAAATATTCTCTTCATTTTTTGTTAAGATTTTGTAATGTTTCAACGTTATACTCGTCTGTGTATGGTATACTCATGATAGGTAGATTAATAACTTATGTCCTCCGTGAGCATGAGAGCAGGATTGTTGAATAAAATAAATACAAGTCGTAAAATTGTTAACAAAGAAAATGCTACAAGTACATAATAAATATACATAAAGATGTATAGAACACTCACATGGAGTGGGGTCCACTTGATTTTATTTTTTTGGGTCTCACTTAATATGAGTGTTATGTACACCATATGTACAATATTATGTATCTATATCATTACTCTTGTTAACAATTTTGTTTATCTTCCTTAAAATGAAACCTTATGTCTTCTTTGTATAAGAGCATGAAAAATTGTAAATTTTGTCCTTTTAACTTGCACCTAATTCGTAAGTATTTCATTAATTATGTTGATTTTAATAAGCATCTTTTAACTGGATTTTTTGAAAAAAAAAAAAAAAAAAAATTACGTCCTTTCACTGGTACAAGGGTCAATGTGACTGGCTTGCTCAATTGGATAATATATATATATATATATTTCCTTTTATGTTCTTTTCACCTACATCATATTTATCCCCAATCTTTGCCCGAAATTTAACGGTTCCTTCCTCGTCAGTCAAGATATGATGTCCTCATTTGTCGATAACCCTAAGTTCTCTTCGTTCTGTCACTATGGAAAGAGAGGGTAGCTCTGGATGTCGTGGACTTAAGACAAACCCAGACGGTGCTTCAACGGGTGTGAAGATTGGCAAGTTCCCTTCACCCACCCCATTCATCCTATTTTTTTCAGCATTTTGTTATGGATGCAGATGAGAGACTGCGGTTTTTTTGCT